CCAAGTCAAGGGTTAAGATCCCCTTACCGGTCATCTTTTTAAAAAACATAATAATAAATAAATAAAAGTTAGATTACTATTAGTGAAAGCATGAGGAAAAGGAAACTTGGAAACTTGGTGGTGGAAGAATAAATCAGGAAAAGTCTCACGGAGGGCAATTTGGCACTATTTGTCAAAATTCAAAAGTATCTTTCGATTCTTCCAATTCAAATTTGGGGAAGCTATTCAATGGATACACTTCTTCATGTAAAAATTATTCATGCCAAGGATATTAGTTTTAACACTACAGTATAATAGCAAAAGATTGAAAAGAATCTAAATGTCCTTAAATGGGGGATTTTGATAAATTAAGGTACAATCATGCAATGGAATACTATTTGGTCATAAAATACATTAAGGAAGTTCTGTGTACTTCTAGGAAAATGGGTTCAAGATTCATTAGATTGGGTGTTGCCAAACTTTTTTCTTAAAGTGCCAGATAGTAAATATTTTAGGCTTTGCAGGCAGTGTGGTCTCTTTGGAGACTACTCAGCTTTGTTGTCATGGGAATGCAGCCATAAATAATACTTAAATGAATGGGCATGGCCATGTTCCAGTAAAAGTTTATTTACAAAAAACAAGTGACTGGCCTATGGGCCATGGTTGCTGACCTCTGTATTAAATGAAAGAAGCAACTGAAGAACTTGGTATATAAATTAAAGGTATGAATGAAGTACTGGGAGCATAGAGAAGTGAGTTCAAGATTTGCCTGGGAGGTGTGGGAAAGAGATGAGGTGTTAATTTATACTGATGAGGTAATAATTTAAACTAAGTTTCTGTGGATGTGCAGGAGCTGTAAATATTAAGATGAGAAAGTCTTTTCTAGGATTGGTGAGAAGTTGTCTGCCTGAAATAAGGAGTTCTTTGTTGGAAGAGGATGAAGAGGTGAGATGGAACCATATTTTTGAAGGTGCTAGACACTACTTCCGATTTGTAACTCATTTTCTACATTGAATAAAAAATTTCACTCCTATTTTTATTAAACCTTGACATTTTGCCATATTTGCTTCAGATCTTTTTTTTTTTTAAAAAAAACAGGTAAATTTGAAACTGCCCTGCAAACCACCCAGAACACTTCCTTTCTTCCTCTCTTGAGATAACGGCTAACATGCATTTGTTTTGTTCGTCTAGTCTTGCATTCCTACATTAACCAGATGTTTGTATACTCCTTAACAACACATTGTGTTGTTATGTATGTTTTTGAAGGTTTATTTGATGGTTTAAATTGTCATTTTGGAATTGGGTTTTTTTGCTCAATATGTTTTTACTATTTGCGTATAGACCAGGCACTTTCAGTAGAAACATAATGTAGTCCACAAATGCAAGGCATGTATGTAATTTTAAATTTTCTAGTAGCCGCATAAAAAGGTAAGTAGAAACAGGTAAAATTAATAATATGCTTTAATAACCCAGTATGTCCAAAATATTATTTCAGCATGTATGCAATATAAAAATTATCAGTGAGATATTCTGCATTCCTTTTTACAGTAAGTCTTTAGAATCTGGTGTTTATTTTACACTTACAACACATCTTAATTTGGACTAGCCATATTTTAAGTGTTCAGTAGCCACATGTGCTTAGTGGCTTTTACTGTATTGGACGTCGAGTAGCTTGTGTGTACTCCTACCACCAGGGGTCAGCCAAGCATCATAATGTTAACAACAATAGACAGTATTTTGTTGGAGTTTTCTAATCTATGACTGCAATGCAAAAATTGTTCTGTGCACAACAAAGTAAACCACTGTCAAGTACAGCATTTACTGCTGATGAAATCGTTGGAGCCCAGAGGGTGATGTTTGCCGTTTGTTCCATTCATGTTTGCCTTGAATAAACTGTTGAAACTTACCCCCCTTTTATTAGAGGTGTCACATGTGTAGTTAATATACTGCTTCTCCATATTTGGACCTTATTCTCTTGGTAAACTTGTTTGCTAAAAATCTCAAGTGGGGGGCCGGCCTGGTGGCGCACTGCTACAGTGCGCCGCTTGGGAAGTGTGGCGGCGCTCCCGCCGAGGGTTCGGATCCCACACACAGACCGGCCGCTCACTGGCTGAGCGAGGTGCGGGGGCAACGATCCCTTTGCTGGTCCTGGTCCGGTATGGGCGCGACACTGAGGGTTGTGATCCGTTGCCGGTCACAAAAAAAGACAAAAAAGGAAAAAAAAAAAAATCTCAAGTGGGAAACATTTAATTACTGAGCCACATGTTGTATGACTACCTATTCTTGTTTTTTAAAGTTTCTGCCTGGTTTAAAGTCATCTCATTAAAGTCTATAGTTAGATTTGTATTTATCTTATTCTCTACAGATATGCCTTCACAGAAATGCCCTAGACTTTATATTCATAGCACAAACTGACATTTAGAGTGCCTTAGTTTCATACACATTATAATTTGAGGAACTTACTATTATGCTGTGAATATCCCTTATATAAAGACCCAATGAAAAAAAAATCTCACTAAGAACAAAGATATAGGGAAAATTCTGTCCATCTCACCCATTCATTATTTGGTTCTTGATAGTTTTTTTCAGTTCTGGAGGGTTTGTTTTAATGCCTCCTCTTATATGCCCACTAAAGTCCTTTGTCAAAATACAAATAATTTGTAGATCAATAGTAGTCTCAGCTAACTCTTTAGATAGGACCTTGATTTATTGTGCATTCCGTGGCTTGATGGTAGCCTTTTAATAATTTTATACGAAGTACTGTTAATATATTTTCTGCCACAAGGTGGGGGTAGAGAGTCCAATGGTTCTGATTAGTTAGAATTTGACAACAGCAATCATAAAGTTAACTGTCTATGAGTTACCAAAATAATTATTGGTGCCATTATTAGCACAACTTTTCCTTAAGGTTAGAATGATTCCTAATTTCTGCATGGTAGGTTTTTACTTGGGTCATCAGCCATTCTGGAATTGATGACTAGTGTTTTTTTTTAATAAATATTTACTCTTGATTTAACTTCACATCCTTTTACTTTGTTAGGTTGCTTAGATCAGTTTTTTTTGTTTGTTTTTTAAATTCTGAGCTGAGAACAGACACTTGGGGTGTGGGGTGGAAATGCATGTTTTGAGTGAACAAATGGGAACTGAGGGAAAAAAAGGTAATTCTGGAGAGTCAGGCTTTTGGTGGTCTGGTAGGATTGGAAAAGGAGAGAGTGAGGCTTGGATAGGGCACCATCATAGCAGGTCTTTTATACAAGAAGCAGCATAGAGTCCTAGAGCTAGGAGTTTTTCAAATTTTAATGTTAAAAATATGTATATTCTTGTTAGATGACCAATATAGATAGGCCTGAACAAAGTGAGGGGATGTGTCCATTCTGTCTATTAAAATTAAAGTGTACATGGAACACACACATACATTGTGTATAATCTGGAATGAGAAGAGAGCATTCTATTTTATTTATATTTTTTTATTATATATATTTTATATGTATTATATTTTTTTATTTATTTTTATTTTTTTTATAAGATGACCAGTAAGGGGATCTTAACCCTTGACTTGGCGTTGTCAGCACCATGCTCTCCCAAGTGAGCAACCGGCCATCCCTATATAAGGATCCGAACCCTTGGCCTTGGTGTTATCAGCACCACATTCTACCAAATGAGCCACGGGCCGGCCCAATATATGTATTATATTTATATTGAACACTATTATTTGGCTCCTTGGCATCAGTTTGCCCATATCAAGTATTAAGGGATTTCTTACTAATCATAATAGGTCTATTTGTCAGAAATCATTTTTAACAAATTTCCTTTTATGCTTTGTTGTATACATAAAATTCAACAGTGAAACAAACTTAAATAGACTTTGTCAAGGTTTTCGTACAAACACATGTTCCATATATAGATATATAAGATTGAATGACCTAAGCAAATTCTTATGTTACAATATTTGTAGACTGAATTTTCAAAAGCCCCATAGTGCTGGGTTTTTTTTTTTTTATTTCAAAGTGAGATATGCATAGGATATCATATAGGCTACGAGTAAAATGTCCTGTTGCTGTTAGAGCGCATGAAATTTGAACACCATGTAGTTTAAAGATAAAAGAGAATTGTAAGTGGGAGTAGATTTGGAAATTGGATTTGATTTGTGAACCAAATTTAAAAAATAAAATAGTAAAGTTCCTTTTTAATTGACATGATACCGGCCATTTATACACATTTTGCTTTGCTATAAGAATACCATTTTAGCTTACTCAGGATCATATTGATTTGCCAGAGTTCCTGAGAGAAAGCCTTGCTTTGCTAAGGCTTTTAGCAGTTTGAAAGTGGAATGGTGGATCTTACAGCAGAGGAAATGTGAGATAGATACCAGTGTGATGCTACTAAGTGGAAGAGATCAGTTTGGTTGTGAGTCTGTGGTTTGGTGCAATACATTTGTCATCATGTATGAGAAGGCAGCTCCCCATTTTCCCTATGAAATATCCCTCCCCCCAAATTCCTTTGCCAACTGAAATGTAAGGTTTCAGAAATACACCTGATGCATTAAAATCTACATATATTTAATCTATTTAGCCACATAAACCATTATATAGCATGTAGAATTTGGAAATAAAGTTATGTTTTGTTTTGCTATCTCATGGAATAATTTTGTTCAAGCTCTTCATATGTAATTGAAATCCCTTTTAAATCATTTGTCTTCATAAGATAGTTGTTCAGGTGACAGCTATTAGGAATTTGAGTGGCTTCAAAGCCTTTAGATATAAGGTGACTCCTTTTATTCTGAAAAATAATTTTGAGGGGATAAAACCCTCACCTGATATCTGAATATATATGATAATTCTTTATACCTCTTATTTTGTATTGCTATTTAGAACTTCTTAAAATTACTCAATTTTAAGAAGTCAGAGTCTTATTCTCATTTATAATAGAGTGTCTAAGCTTTTCGTTGTTAATGTGGATTTTGTCTTACCTTTTTTTTTTTCCTTTGAGGGGTTGGACATAATTGCCTTATTTCATTTCAGGGATCCTTCTAAAATAAATATTCTGGTTCCTGGTGCTGGACTAGGAAGACTGGCCTGGGAAATAGCTATGCTAGGTTATGCTTGTCAAGGAAATGAATGGAGTTTTTTTATGCTCTTTTCTTCCAACTTTGTACTCAACAGGTATTTAATTTATTTTTTGCTGGAAATAGTAATTTCTCAGAATCGGATTGACTTACCTATTTTTTTTAACAATTTTGAATTTGAAGATAAGTACATAGTGTTTGATTATTATGTTACATCATAAATGTTTCTTATGTTAAAATCAAAATGCTTATACATATTACCACTTAACCAATTGCCTAGTTAACAGAATGTTGAAACAAGGAGGGTAATCTACTTTTTAGAAAGTGATTGGGCCTTCCATGAAACTGGAATGATTTCTGTACAGATTCTACAGGACTAAATATAATCCAGGAAGAAATATTTTCTCATCGTTCCTCACTTCTTTACCCCTTTGTTTCTTTAGTGGAATACGAGTTTAGTGTAGCAATCATAACTTTTTTTCCTTAATCATGTTTTTATAAAATAGCTGATAATGCTCACACAACTGAATTGGAAAGATCTCTCAGAACTTCCACAGACTCTTTTGGAAGTTAGTGGAAGAGAGTTATTTTTAAAGTCAGAAGACGTGTGTTAGAGAAAAATAAATAGCTGCCTTATTTAAATAATATGTTGTCTCAGATGGCAGTATGAGTTTTAGGGGGTTGATGAGAAGAGAAAAAAAGGTTGTAAGCAAACTTTTAGTCCAAACCAATACCATATTTTTAAAATTAGTTGGATGGTTTTTATTTCCATTTAAAGTTCAGAAATACAGTTTTAAAACTTTGAATGAACAGTACATTTATATCTCTAAATTTACATTTTTTTTGTTTTAATCTATGATTGGTTGCTCATCTACATGTATATTTTCAGTTAATTGGGTGGACTGTAATAGTGACACTTTAAGTATTAATGAATTATATACCCATACTAATCAAACAGNAAGTACATAGTGTTTGATTATTATGTTACATCATAAATGTTTCTTATGTTAAAATCAAAATGCTTATACATATTACCACTTAACCAATTGCCTAGTTAACAGAATGTTGAAACAAGGAGGGTAATCTACTTTTTAGAAAGTGATTGGGCCTTCCATGAAACTGGAATGATTTCTGTACAGATTCTACAGGACTAAATATAATCCAGGAAGAAATATTTTCTCATCGTTCCTCACTTCTTTACCCCTTTGTTTCTTTAGTGGAATACGGGTTTAGTGTAGCAATCATAACTTTTTTTCCTTAATCATGTTTTTATAAAATAGCTGATAATGCTCACACAACTGAATTGGAAAGATCTCTCAGAACTTCCACAGACTCTTTTGGAAGTTAGTGGAAGAGAGTTATTTTTAAAGTCAGAAGACGTGTGTTAGAGAAAAATAAATAGCTGCCTTATTTAAATAATATGTTGTCTCAGATGGCAGTATGAGTTTTAGGGGGTTGATGAGAAGAGAAAAAAAGGTTGTAAGCAAACTTTTAGTCCAAACCAATACCATATTTTTAAAATTAGTTGGATGGTTTTTATTTCCATTTAAAGTTCAGAAATACAGTTTTAAAACTTTGAATGAACAGTACATTTATATCTCTAAATTTACATTTTTTTTTGTTTTAATCTATGGTTGTTCATCTACATGTATATTTTCAGTTAATTAGGTGGACTGTAATAGTGACACTTTAAGTATTAATGAATTATATACCCATACTAATCAAACAGGTTTTAATCTATGATTGGTTGCTCATCTACATGTATATTTTCAGTTAATTGGGTGGACTGTAATAGTGACACTTTAAGTATTAATGAATTATATACCCATACTAATCAAACAGATTATATTTTAGCATTTAACATAGATTTGCTTGGTAAAATGTTTAGTTAACACTGAATTTTGTCCTCATATTTTGCAGATGTTCTGAAATTAATAAATATAAACTCTATCCCTGGATCCATCAGTTTAGCAATAACCGGAGATCAGCTGATCAGATTCGACCCATCTTTTTCCCTGATGTTGACCCCCACAGTCTTCCTCCTGGTTCTAACTTTTCTATGACAGCAGGAGATTTTCAGGAGATTTATTCAGAATGCAGTAAGTCAAAAGCAAGCGTTTTAAAGGTCTTGTCCTTAATTTTAAATTTAATGAGCTAACTTTTCCTAAGCTGAAGTTTTGGTCATTCGTTTTGATGGTAGGGTATAAGGTATATTGCAGTGACAATTTAGAATAGTTTCAAGGTCATTTACAAGGCAACAATGGGAAATATGAAGAAGTATAAGATATCTACAGTCAAGAAATTTTGAGTCTGTTGGGTCTGTTAATGTAAGACAACATATAAACAAATAAATTCAAATGAGTAATAAATGCAGTAAAGTTTGTACTTCAGCCTGGCAAACTGTTGAAGAAATTTGAGGTAGGCATTAGAGAAAGGGAGATGGTAATGGGGAAAGAAGAGAGAGGGATTGGCAGTAAAAGGAAAAAGAAAAATACAATGCTGAGTGGTTAGCAAGATCATTTCATTCAACAGTTATTTGTTTAGCATCTAATAAGTACCAGGGATGTTCTAGGCATTCAGAAGAGAACAGTGAGTAAAACAGTCCTTGTCCAGCAAGAAACTTATATTTTAATACGGAGAGAGAGGCAATAACAAATTTTGTTTGTTTATTCCCCGAACTCTGAGATTGGGACAACCTGTACTCTGAAAGTAGAAAGGAAGAGATGGAAGATATTAGGTGTGGGATAAGTTATGGAGCAAGTCCTCAAAATAGGAGTGAAATAAGGGAAAACATCACTTAGGCAAGTGAAAGTCCTTTCCTTTTGGGAGGAAGGTTTGAGGGAGCAGATGGTGAGGATAATCTTCAGTGGGATCAAGTGCTTTTATTGCACCAGCAGTTGTACAGACACCACGGACCTTCAGGCCATAGCCTCCAAGAGGCAAGCAGTATTCTTTGCTGGTTTCCACCCACTGCTTTTGTCTGCTCCTGGTCCCCCTTCTTCTTCCCTTCCCTGGTGATTATCTGAAGGCATGGTGAGTGTTTAGATACTTTGACGTCATTCATTTCTGAGTTGGCAACAAGTGCCTGCAGTCTTTCTGAAACCTGCCAGAACTGGTGGCTAACACTAGTTTAAATCATAATTTAAAACTCATTTGACTATTATTTTATCTTAACTGATTTTAAATGACGGCTAGAAGTTCAATAGATGATAGATGATAAATAACACTCTTACAAATATATTTGGTCACATTATTGATGAAACCGTTGTGAATTATAAAGCATCTCATGTAAATGATTATTTGGTTACTTTGATTATAGTGTTGATTGGAAGAATTTAGCTTCTGCATCCCTGCAGTTAAATGAAATATTAATACTCTGTAAGAGGTAACTGTCAAGTTTAAAGAATTAATTAAAAGAAAAAGCAAAATAACAAAACAGTTGCAGTAATTTGATTTTTCTTGATTAGATACCTGGGACTGTATTGCTACCTGTTTCTTCATAGACACAGCTCACAATGTAATTGATTATATTGATACAATATGGAAAATTCTCAAGCCAGGTGGAATTTGGATAAATCTAGGTAAGTTCTTCAGTATTTATTAAAATTTTATACATTAATCTAAGTACTTATAACTATTTTACATTTGGTAACTTCAC